TTTTTTTTTTTTTTAAGGGGCTATGCACGGAATTCTTTGTGAGTACGGAGTCCACAGCGCCTTCAGGGGGTACAGAACAAAAATTAAATAACTGAAAGTCATTCGTTGTCGAAATTTCAGAGAACGCTTCATTTTTATGTGAACCTTTATTATTCTTCTGCAAAAAAAACAAAATGGACCCGAAATTGTGCGACAGGTGATTTAAGTGTACTTATATTACTACTAAGGTATATTGCATTGCATCGGTATCGGTTACCAATACCGAAACTTTGGGTACCGAGTATTGGGCAACTCTGCACATCACTATTTTTTAAAAAATGACACTTTCATTGAGGGCAATTGCAGCACATATCACAATTTCCTGAATGGCCCGAGTGATTATGATGCGGTAAGTTGCGTATTTTTCTCATAGTATTTAATGTGATATTTTTTACCTTCTACTTTTAGCTTTCCTTGGAGATATTCCACCCAAAACCCTCATTCATCCAAGTACGGCACATTTACAACTCGTAATCGAGTTCGCCTGAAGGATGAATGAGGAATTTTAGTATGATGAATGGAAGTGCGTGGCTCTTGGGAACTTCGGGTATGCAGGCGATACTCGCAGCACAAATTCCTCTCGGAAAAAGCCAACCATTAAGTATCGTGAAATATGAATTAATATAATATGAATCTTTTATGTAAACCCTATTATCTTACTAATATCTTTTCGTTTCCATTTCAGATGATGCTGGATTTAGCTAAAAGTGGTTGCAAAATCGCGCACGACAAATCACATGCATTTGGCCAAAACTTCTGTATCGATTGTGCGAATTTGAAGTCTTGCAGGATCTGTATCGCACAGATAAACCTTGTGTTCCAAATTTTATAGAAGATCAGTCCTTTGACGAAATACGATGGATATGTTATGAAGCTAAAAAAAAAACTGTTTCGATCAGTTCGTTAAACAATTCGCCAAAGAAGCCATTGAAGCTAATAATAAAATGAAAACAATGGCGCAGATATCACCCCATGTAGTAGATATTATATGCCGATTGTATGATGCAACTTCAGAAGCCGCCACAAATGTGGGTTTGACTAAAAGTAATAAAACTAATCCATTTGGCCTTGAAATTAGCGTTGCCAGTGACACAGCATTGATATTTAAAAAAACCTGGCGCTACATCCAGCAGTAATAAAAATTTTGGTGATGCTTTTAACGATCATGGTCATACTACCAATGCCGGATGCGTATTTGGCGGAATGGCACCTTCGACTCCTGGAGGAATCCTTGGTGGAGGTAGGTCAGCTTTTAATTTTCAAAATCAGCAGTCTTCAGTTTTTTCTCAACAGCTTCCAAATGCTAGTTCCATATTCGGAGGAGGCGGCCCACAAAATCTATTTGGTCAAACGCTGACAAGTACTGATGTTACTGTTGGACGTTTTGGGCGCGCGCAGCAAGGGACCGGAGGTTTGTTCAGCCAATCATTATTACAGCAGCATCAAATTAAACCTTCGTCCATCGTAGGTTTGTGTTCTTCCCAAGCTCAACAGAACGCAGGTGGTAGTTTATTTAACCTAAGTATTCAGAAGCAGCAAATAACAAATGGGGGAAACGTTTTTACCCAATCCACGCGATCTCAACAAATGCAAACTCCGCCGAATTTTGGCATGTACCAGAGCAACAAACAGGAGGCGCAATCAGTTTTTGTACAGCAAAATGTTTTTTCACAACAAACCCCTGGTTGCATATTTGGTCAAGTGGCACAAACTACGTCTTCTGCCAACTTAATTTGTCTGGTAATTTTCCCCGGAATATGGTGAGTACTATAACCTTTTTATTATTATACTGCTTTTACACAGTTCAAGTATTGAATTCCATTCTGCTCGCATGTGGAAGAGAGGGGGTGAGAACAAAAGGGACGAGTACACATGCGTCTGTACCGTCAAGTCGTTTAAACTTTCTTGCTTTGCTTTTGGCATTTTCGTTGCTTCCCATTTAACGAACCAAACTTGACTTCAACAGAATTGAAACGTGTAAAAGCAAATAGAAAACACAAAGTACCTGAATCATGTAAATCGGGTGTAATGACGAAAGTCCATAACCATCCCTTGCGGTGATATGTAGGAGAGCGCTGCATGAATGCATTCAAACGGCATATGAATTATTCATACACAAAACGGATGAATAATTTTAGCTTAAAATTTTAATTATTTTTTTTTTTTTAAATCTGAGTGAACAGCTGTTCAGATCTATGTGTCGACAAAGTGAAAATAAATTGAATTGATATAAATGTCAACTCTTTGTATGAATATCCAGAAATATTTTTTCTTCGTACATATGTACAAACATACATATGTATGTATGTATGTATTGCTGCGCTCCTATTACATACGAGAAAACTTGTGTGCCGAAATGAGTTTGAATGATTTAAATGTTTTCCATTCATTCAGTCACATTCTTCCATTTAAAGGTAGACAATTTAAAACAAAATGTATATTCATAACTTACAAAATTCCAAACGCTGAGTATTTTGTAGGTGAAGTAAAATATTCAAATGTACTGTACTCTGTTTGGCTTGAAGTTTGAATGAATTCATGCAGCCCATATACATATTATGTAGGCAATTCTTCGATATAAAGATTGCGACACAATTGTATTAATTCCGCAAGGTTAGAAGGAATAAAAACATGTAGGCAACTTACCGCTCCTCCCAACCTTTTTATCCGAAAGCTTCTAATAAGATATACTTTAAATAAAATTAAAGGAATCTTGAATTTTTTGAATTTGGTGGACGTAGTATATTATGTTCGCGCAAACTCCATTCGTTTATAATGATTTCCTGGGGTACGTGTGTATGTGTATACATATCAAAAGCACGTATGCATTGTAACGTTAATTATAGCGTTTACCAAAATAAACCAATCGTTTCTGTTGAAACAATTCAGTTTCTTATCATTTAGGTAATTATCAAAATAATTCTATTCTTGTTTTTAACGAAAAGAAACGAAATTATTTTGATAAGTTATTTTTGCGCATCAACAAAACGAAATCGATTCATATAGTTTGTTGAGCATCTCGCAGTAATGATTTATATTCGTATGATAAAGTGGACTGTATTATGTTGCGAATTGTGGTTGTGGAATAAGTTAGGCTTTTACGAAATGGAGTCGTTACTTGGTTGCGATTCGCTGTGTTGTTGATCACAGGGGGGTAGTAGCACCAGCTTGACTACAGGTCTAGTAACCTGTCCTCTTTCAGTCATGAGGTCCACTACTCTTGCCCTATTGTCTGCACCTAGATGGACGTTAACTACCCTTCCGAGTCTCCATTCGTTTGGCGGCAGGTTATCTTCTCTGATGATCACGAGGTCTCCAATTTTCATATTGGCTTGCGGATATCTCCATTTGTTGCGTTTCTGCAATTCCGTGAGATATTCACTTTTCCACCGTTTGCAAAACGTGTGGTGTAGAGCCTTGAGCCTCTGCCATCGATTTACAATCGAGGCACGATTTTCATCAGCGTCTATTTCTGGTGGAGCTAGTATGTGTCCACCGATTAAGAAGTGGCCTGGAGTCAGTGGCTCCAGGTCTCCTGGTTGATTTGATGAGGGACTCAGGGGTCGAGAGTTGAGACAGGATTCAACTCTGCATAATAGGGTTGTAAATTCCTCAAACGTGTATTTGTGTTGGGAAGCAATTTTCGTAAAGTGGCTTTTAAAACTTTTAACTCCCGCTTCCCACAGTCCGCCCATGTGGGGAGCTGAAGCGGGAATGAAGTGCCACGAAAGCATTTGGTGAGCGTATTTCGCCAAAGTGTTATCGCGGGCGTCTTTTAAAAAGGCTTTTGTTTCGGCTCTCAGAGCTCTAGAAGCTCCCACAAAATTGGTGCCGTTGTCGGAATAGATATTTTTTGGACAGCCTCGTCGTGCGATGAACCTGGCAAATGCTGCTAAAAACGACTGAGTGCTCAAGTCCGAAGTGGCTTCCAAATGGATTGCCTTTGTTGCGAAGCATACAAATAGGCAGACATATCCTTTTGACATGCGACAACCTCGGCCACTATAACTTTTAATGTCAAATGGCCCTGCGAAGTCGACTCCCGCATTTGTAAACGCTCGCGAAAATGTCGTTCTTTCCTTGGGAAGAATTCCCATTAACTGAGTTTGCGCGCGTTTGCGATAAATCGTGCAAGCCTTACAGTTATGAATTGTGGACCTAATCAAGTTTTTGACCCTAGGTATCCAGTACTGTGTTCGGATCAAGCGCAGCATGAGCTGATTCTCACCATGCAGGGAAACTTTGTGAATAAACTGAACTATGAGACGGGACAAGGTGCAATTATAAGGCAGGATGATTGGGTGACGCGCGTTGTAGGCGAGATCACGAGATGCTCCCAGCCGTCCACCTGTTCTCATTATACCGTCTTTGTCGATGAATGGGGTAAGGGGCAATACTTCACTTTTAGAACCTACTGATTTTCCTGATACTAATGCTGAATATTCCTCACCATAATGCTGCTTCTGGCAAACTAGTACTAAGCGTTGGGTCGTTGCTTTAATTTCATCAGCTGAAATTAAACAAGATTTCGCTTGAAATGAAGCTTTGGTATTTGGACGGGTTCTTTGGGAGAATCTCATTACGTATGATAGCACTCTCAAAGCTCTTGGAAATTCAGAAAACCTATCAAGAATATCAGTCTTACTATCCATTGTTGTTATATGAACTTGTACCCTTTTTTCTTCAACGGTTGTGTTATAGTCCTTTCCTTGAGTGGGCCATTTTGAGTGGTCTTCTTGAAGCCAAGAAGGGCCCTCCCACCACAGGGAATTGTTTATTAATTCTTGCGCCGTAAGTCATCTGCTGGCTAAATCTGAGGGGTTTGACGTTGAGTCCACATGACGCCAGTTTTCTCCTCCCACCTTCTCAATTATTTTGGTCACTCGATGGGCTACAAATGTCGACCATGAGCATGGAGGCTTGCGTATCCAGGCAAGCACGATGGTGGAATCCGTCCACATCTGAGTTGTACGATGGGCTAAGTTCAGATTATCCGAAATCGATTCCAGGGTTTCTGCCAACAGGACCGCTCCACAGAGTTCTAGGCGTGGTAAGGAAATTGTTTTAACTGGTGCTACCCTAGTTTTTGATAGTAGCAGGTTGATGAACACTTTGCTGCTTATTTCGACACGCAAGTAAATAGATGCTGCGTAAGCCTTCTCTGAGGCGTCGCAAAATCCGTGAATTTCGATCTCGGCCACAGGGGAAAAGTGTACCCAACGTGGAATACGAATTCTTTCGATACTGTCGTAGCTTTCCCTAAAATTTTTCCAGCGGTCTAGAGTCGTAGGTGACACGATTTCGTCCCACCCTGTTCCTTCCAACCAGATATTCTGCATCAAAATTTTCGCAGTAATTACCACTGGTGCAAGCCATCCTAGAGGGTCGAATAATTTGGCAATAGCCGATAGTATTTGCCTTTTAGAATAGCTAACCTGTTCCTCTATTGGCTTGGCTGTAAAGTAAAAATTGTCAGAGTGGGCATTCCACCTGATACCCAAAGCTTTGACTGTGCTAGTGTCTTCAAAGTCCAAGAAGTCTTCTTTCAGTAGATGGGATTTTGGTATTCCCTCTAATATTTCATTGCAATTGGACGTCCATTTCCTCAAGGGGAACCCAGCAGACTGCAATGCACTTGTTATTTCGGTTTTCGCCTTGATAGCAGCTTCGATGGAGTGACCGCCAGCTAAAACATCGTCAACATACATGTAATTTCTTAATATGTCCGACGCCATGGGGTGTGACTGTTCTACATCGTCAGCTAATTGGAGCAGGGTTCTAATCGCGAGGTAAGGGGCGCAATTGACCCCGAAAGTCACCGTATTAAGTTCAAAAAGACTAATTGGTTCTGTTGGGCTTGTGCGGAAAACTATTCGTTGATACTTGCTATCGGTAGGATTAAGTAAAATCTGGCGATACATCTTTTCGATGTCGCTATTAAAAACATATTTATAAAATCTCCACCGAAGTATTAAGATGGTGAGGTCATTTTGCAGTACTGGACCAGGATGAAGCACATCATTGAGACTCACCCCATTAGCTGTCGGACACGATGCATTGAACACCACCCGTACTTTGGTGGTGGTGCTTTCTTCCTTCCGGACGGCATGATGAGGTAAAAAATAATTTTCACACTCATCAGCTTGAATATGGCTGGAAATTCGCGTCATATGCCCTAAAGTTTCGTACTCGGACAGTACCCTATTATACTCCGTTTGTAGGAGTGGGTCCTTTGCTAGACGCGTTTCATTGCGAAAGAATTGAGAGCAAGCGCTCTTGAGAGAGGGTCCTAACCGCACGCTCCCTGGAAAATCCATTTTGAATGGCAACGATACTGTATATTTTCCATCTTTGTTCCTTTTAGTTGTGCGTTTGTACAGGTCCTCGCAGTAAACTTCCTCTCTGGTGTATGTATGGTTCTTTGGGATGTCCTCTAATTCCCAAAAAGACGCTAATTGTTTGTCTAGAGTGACTTCGTTGAAGAATGAAACGCATTTATTCGTTGGCCCTGTTGCCTCAGTTTGACCGGTTAGTATCCAGCCGAATACAGTCTCTTGCGCAAGCAGGGTACCTAAAACATTCTTCTGTATGCCACTCAATATTATTTGGGCGTAAATATCGCCGCCTAGTACAAGATCAACTTGCTCATTTATGAAGAATCTCTTGTCAGCTAATACTAAATCCGGAAACGCTTGCTTTGTCATAGCATTGATCTGGCAAGTCGGCAGATTTCCTGTAAGCTGTGGTAGAACCAGGACAGTGGTATCTATTTTTATTAAAGGGTCAATCGGTGACCGCAACTGTATTAAACACGCTTCTTTGACTTGGGCTGAAACGGTGTTGTTGATGCCTGACACCTGAGCATTCAAACTTTTGGATGGTAGGTTAATTCGGCGTTTAAGTCTTTCTGATATGAATGAACATTCCGAACCGGAGTCTATTAGTGCACGGGCTGAAAAATTAGTATTATTGAAGAAGATATTGACACGTGCCGTTCCTAATAGGACTCCCTTGTTCGTGTTGGCAAAACAGGACTTAACGTTATTAACCGGACTCCTATTTCCTTTTTCAGAGTTGCGTCTGGCCTGGGCTTGCGCAGAAGTTGATGGCGTGTCATCTGAAAAATTTGGTTGTTGCCTTTGGTTCATGGCTGCTTTTGGCTGAGCTGCTTGATTATGCAGGAGCGTGTGGTGCCTTTGGTGACAGGTGCTGCAGTTAAATGAGCACGTACACCTTGACACAGTATGTCCAAAAGATAAGCAGTTCAAGCAGCCACGATTCTCCTTAATGAAGGCTATTCTGTTTGACACCGTGAGTTCGAGAAATTTGTGGCATTTCGATAATTTGTGGTTACTGCTTTTGCAGAATACACACATGGTTTTGGCTACAGAAGCTTGAAATGCGCCAAGTCTTTTTTGCGGTGTTTCATTTGTATGCCTACTATTGTGGGGCTTTGGGATTTTGGTATGTTTAATACCTGTTATGCCCGAGACGGTTTCAAGAGTTTGGAATCGGTTGGACAGAAATTTGTCCATATCCTCCCACTTGGATATTTCCGTCTTGTTCTCGATCGTTTGTTCCCACAATGCTAGGGTACTTTCTGGCAACTTCGTTGAGCAGAGATAAGTAAATATTGCATCCCAGTTTGATATGTCAATTTTATGGCTTTTTAATGATGAGATGCAATTATTTATATCTCGCTGTAGTTTCTTAATCGAGATTCCGCACTCGTTTTCTACCGACTTTAAATTAAAAAGAATTTGTAACTGGGAGTTTACGAGAATACGTTTGTTCTCGTACCTATCAGTTAAATTTTTCCATGCAGTGGCAAATCCCTCGTTAGTAAGTGGGCATTTTTGTACGATATCTTTGGCCTCCCCCTGTGTTTTTTGGTTGAGGTGGAATAATTTCTCAACCGGGGTAAGGCGCTTATTCAGTATATATATGGCCGTAAACATGTCTCGGAATGTTGGCCAAGAGAGGTAGTCGCCTTTGAACACGTCCGTATCGCACGGGGGGCAGATGTATATTGTGTTCCTGGACAGACACGCCCTCTGTATCTTTTTCGCCCTTGACTAACTTTGCCTGGAAATCTGACATGTTCGACATGCAGCGCAAATAAACAGAATAGGAGCTCTTATACCTAGGTTTAACCGTAGAGACTCCTTTAGCGTCTAACGTGTCGGAATGCACTAATTCTTCGTAAGCAGTTTTTACCTTTCTCCATATTGCCTTAAGTTCCTCTTGCTGAAGAGTGAGGGTATATTTTGTGTGGTCAATTTGGGCCGTGTCATTATAGTCGGCCTCAAATTCTGCCACAGCATCAGTTAATTTTATGAATTTATCCATTTTGTTTATCGGAACAAAAATTTTGCAAACTGACAGGTATTATTTAGTACAGAAAAACCACTGAAGACCAAGATTCAAGTACGACTTCACTTGAGAAAAATTCTTAGAGACCACCACAATCCCAGATTTTAATACAAGAATTTCTAGTGTACCTTCACACGTATCAAGATATATTCTTTTATTTGTGATAATATATATATGTATGTATGTTTTAAAGGTTATACGTATGTATGTATTTGTAAGTATATATATATATTTTACTTTTTTCTTATGATTGCAGAATCTAAAAAAGCTCGCCACCCAACTCTCAATTGTAATTGAGCTATTAGTCTACTTATTCCGAAGAGACTTCTTATTTGTCCAATATTGTATGCCGCACGCGAATAGTGATTTTGTGGATGAAAATTTAAAGTGAACTCAAAATTGCCAATCAAATTAATAACAAGTGGGGTTAGAATCAAACTCCGTGATGTGTTAGTGTTGATGTACATACATACATGTGTATATGTGCGTAAAGAATTGAAAATGCAACTCGAACTAAAATACAATAAACGTGATGAAAGCCAAAAATCATCGAATTGAATATGTATTTTGAAGATATTGGAAAATAATTTTGAGCCCCGAAACTTAGTGAAAAAAAGTGTGTTGCAGTGTTGTTTAAAAGAATAATTACACAAACAACTCACGTGGAAAGTTTTTACTAAAATCGCTGTCGCGCGCACTGGTGTTTGTCTTGCATACCCGTATGTATGTATGTACCTATGCTCACACGTTTGTTTAATGATTTGACAAATTATATTAATAATTGAAATTCACTGTTCACGATTTTCCACAAAATCACTATCGGTTATTACTGGCTTTTAAGTGCGCGAATTTTTCGGTATTTATCGCGTTTTCACCAATAATACATAAAATAATGTGCTTGAAACGACAACCACGTACCTTTGTAATTAGTTTTTTGAACTTTTGGTGACTTGTGCTGTTTGCTGGACAGATTTGCGCCTTTATGTGTCGCTGTGTTGGTTTCTGGTGAGCTGGTGGTAATATGAGCGCTTTTGTGTTGTTGCCGCACCGTGTATCTCGGTCCTTTGGCTCCTTATTATTTCGTATGGACAGACGTCTGCTCGATCAAGTGTATTAATCTGGGGCGTTTTTGTCTGGGGCGTGCTTCCGTGACCTTTTAATATATATAAATGGTGGTTACTTTTAATTCCGGCGTAGTTGGACCATGAACGATCGGTGAACCAATGGGTCGCAACTCCCGCAGTGGCACCAATGTCAATTGAAAAAA